CGCATCTCCTTGCTACTGTTGTCACTGACCCTTCCTTTGAGTCCACTGCTGCGTCTGCACTAGTTACTGAGCTCGTCGACTTTGCTGCTCGCTGTCGTCTAGACTACGCTGCTAGTCTTGTTGCTGAGTCTGAGTCTGTCTGTCCTCCGTCCGTCGGGGGTGAGTGTGCCCTTGGCACGGACGTCCTTGAGGACAGGCAGGAGGAGTTCCAGTGTTTGGCTGCTGCTTCACCTCATCTCGTGTCCGTACTGCTTACCCCTGAGGGAGACCCGGATGCACTTGACATCCCGACTCCGCGCTCTTACGCGGAGGCGATAGAGGGTCCCTACTCCTCTCAGTGGCAGGCAGCTATGGACGCAGAGATGGCTTCCTGGAAGTCCACAGGCACCTACGTTGACGAGGTTCCCCCGCCTGGGGCGAACATCGTCAGTGGCATGTGGATTTTCAGGGTGAAGCGGCCGCCGGGTTCTCCGCCTGTCTTCAAGGCGCGTTACGTGGCTCGTGGCTTCAGTCAGCGGCAGGGAGTTGACTACTTTCAGACCTTCTCTCCCACCCCGAAGATGACCACTCTTCGGGTACTGCTGCACATAGCTGCTCACCGCGACTACGAGCTGCACTCTCTTGACTTCAGCACTGCTTTCTTGCAGGGCAGCCTGCACGAGGAGATCTGGCTGCGTCGCCCACCTGGTTTCACTGGGTCCTTTCCTCCTGGCACCCAGTGGAGCCTCCGGCGGCCAGTCTACGGTCTCCGCCAGGCACCGCGTGAGTGGCACGACACACTGAGGACTACGCTTGCGGCTCTTGGGTTTGCTCCCTCTACTGCCGACCCGTCGCTGTTTCTGCGCACCGACACTTCTTTGCCGCCGTTCTACATCCTCGTGTACGTCGACGACTTGGTCTTCGCCACAGCTGACACTGCTGGAATCGCCCACGTGAAGTCTGAGCTGCAGAAGAGACACACGTGCACAGACCTGGGTGAACTGCGCAGCTACCTTGGCTTGCAGATCACCCGGGACAGAGCACGCCGCACCATTACCCTGACTCAGTCACACATGGTGCAGCAGGTCCTTCAGCGCTTCGGCTTCACGTACTCCTCGCCTCAGGCCACTCCTCTGCCTACTCGCCACTCGCTCTCAGCTCTGCCTTCGGATGAGTCCGTAGAGTCGAGTGGCCCGTACCCAGAGCTTGTTGGCTGCCTCATGTACCTGATGACCTGCACACGACCTGACCTTGCATACCCTCTTAGCATTCTTGCACGCTATGTTGCTCCTGGGAGACACAGACCGGAGCACATGGCTGCAGCGAAGAGGGTGTTGCGCTACTTGTGCAGTACGTCGGGCATGGGGCTTGTGCTTGGAGAGCAGAGTCCAGTGGTCCTCACTGGGCACGCAGACGCTTCTTGGGCTGACGACCAGGCTACACAGCGGTCGTCACAGGGTTACACCTTCAGCCTTGGTTCCGGCTCTGTTTCGTGGCGGGCTACCCGCTCGTCTTCTGTTCTCGGCTCCAGTTGTGAGGCTGAGATCTACGCCGGTGCCATGGCTGCAGAGGAGCTTCGCTGGCTCACCTACGTGCTGACTGACCTCGGAGAGCCGCCTCGTTCTCCTCCAGTGCTGTACGTAGACAACAAGGCCATGCTGGCCTTGTGTCGAGAGCAGAGACTGGAGCACAGAACGAAGCACATTGCTCTCCGCTACTTCCTTGCTCGTGAGCTACAGCAGCGTGGTCAGCTGCGGCTTGCGTACGTGGCCTCTGAGGCCAACACTGCTGATATCTTCACCAAGGCACTCCCGCCTTGTGATCATCAGCGCTTCTGTACTCAGCTGGGTCTTGTCCCTACCTTGCCTCACTTGCTCACCCCTTGACCTTGTTTGTACTGTTGCATATATATATACACCTGCTCTTGCTTGTCTAGCCTTATATATATATGCAATCCTGCATGTGAACTGGCCTTGTGGCCTTGAACTTGTGCTCGGAATGTGTGGTGACTTTGTGATCCACCCTGAGCTTGCTTTGCTTTGCTTGACTGGTCTTGTGACCCCTTGTTCTCCCCCACTTTGCCTATGGGGGTGTGTCAGATTTATATGACATAGCTACTGTAGGCTATAGTGGGGTAGCACATATGGGGTACAGTTTTCTAGGGTTTGCTTTTGTACCCAACTTTCCCTTTGTCAATTCATTCCTCGTTATTTCACTGGTAGATATTAATTTTGAAACATAGTTAGCATAATCTGATACACCCCATACTAAAGCATTGTTGTTAGACACGTTATTTCGTCGTACATACATACCACGAATATACTCAAGCACCCATTTCAATGTCCCTGGTGCTACCAAATCTAGCCGTCACAGGTAAAAATTATCGGTGGCAAGTTGATGGAATGGTATTAAAATTGACAGTCTAGTTGTAAGAACAAGGAAAATTGAACATATAATAAGAGACCATAACAGAACGGCGTACCGAACAAAACAGTAAATAACGCATTGTAGGTGTTTTCTTCTGGCTGTCCCACTCTTCCAAGTTTTTCCGCTGTTCCGATTATTTTGTTCCCCGTGCACATATGGCGCTGGCATTCCCAGGCCGTTTCATTGGTCGAGCGTGTCGAGCGTGACGAGGCAGAGTGACGAGCGTGACGAGGCATGGTGACGAGCGTGACGTGCGTCTATCTGCTGTCCTCTCTGTCCGTTGCTGCGCTGGATTTTCATGGTCAGTCCCATTGGACGCCCAATAACAAGCACACCACCAGGCACAGCTCGGCCTATCCTATTGGTCGCTTCAGAATTGCAAGAAGCAGAGCAAGGCACAGCATCTTTTCTGTGCTGTAACGAAACGGTCAGAAGAAAACATGGGAAACTTTGGATTGGCGCGACGCTAGAGGAACTTACATCACAGTTTCTCAAACTGCCAGCTCGAGCTGGCAGCAGTACAGCCCACCCCGCCAATGAAATTGCCGAGCAGTGCATCGTATTATCCCTCTAGCACACGGTTCGACCAGGTTCATTCGTTACCAGCTGCGCTGGCAGTCGAATGAACCTTTCAAAGCACACAGCGATATATTCTCAACGAATCATCTTGCCACGCGAGGTTTTCTATGCCCCGCTGGTTGCTTCTAGTGGTTTCCAATCCATTCCTGGCGGTGCGCGAACTCGACCTCACCCTCCCCCCCTCTCCCACTTTCCTGGAGGTTCACACCCCCAGCACTCGCTCTTCCTTGTTCCCTCCCTCCCATCTTCCTCCTTTGGACGCCTATTACTCCAGCATACCCCGTCGTTCGTTATTCATTTGTTTCTGCTCGGTTGGTGTGTCTGCTCCCGTCATTCAGCTCCCGTGACTCCACCTGCCCCGATGCTAGTTTCCTTAACTCGAGGTACGACTGCCATTTTTTCGTAGATGTTTCGATTATCCCGAGTGTTTCTTTCTGTTTCCGCTTGCCGCTCCAGTAGCACCTTCCCTCTCGTGCGAGTTCCCTGGCTCTTTAATACCGATTCTGCTAGCCACGCAAGCAACACCTGACTTTTGTTGAGTGAGTTTTTTTTCAGCTTGTATTTCGCGTCTTCTTTTAGTCCGTTCATTACAATAGCTGCGACGGTCGGACACTGAAGCGCCAGGTGAGCGATCGTGGTCTGTTTTGCCTTCGCTGTTCCGTCTTTTTAAGGTAAAAGCTGCTGTAGTTCATGGGTTTGGTTTCCTTTTTTTTTTCGTTCGCTGTCTGTTTATTTCTCTCGTTCACCCCACAGCTACCTTCTCCGCTATCTAATCTCGTGGTTTCACCGGATCGTTTGTGCAGCGCGTTAGGCGGATATTTTTCATTGTTAAGCTGCCTTCGTCATGATCTAACTGCTATCTTCGTCCTGTCTTTGTAAAACAGGTTCATTATTGCGCATTCGTGTAACCGTATGTTCGTGCAGTATCTCATTTGACGCTTTAACTCGTGATTGTTCTTGTTGCTGTGATTGCTGTGATGATATTTCGTTGACGAGACCTGCATAGTAGCTAGGTAAACAAACTAGCTGGGTGTGGGGCAGGGTAGTGTCTAACCTTTTACAGGAGTGCTAGTTGGAGTTTAATTAACTTCCAAGTTTGTATTGTTAATTGTTTATACAAATTATATTGCATTCTGCCTATCGTTGAGATTTGAATCGTATACATTTTTAACCGACTGGAGAAAGCACTGTTATTATATTCACCGTCCAATCGTATATAATGCTGAATTTGGCCTGTGGTAACCCAAATATGGTTACCAGGATACCCCACGATCGTTATTATATTTATTAAACAAATTTGTGTCTCCAAGTGTAGTTCTGTCAGGTAACCAAATCAGGTTACCGGGTGGTAATAGTAGCGCTCTGCACATTTCCAGTGGAGAAGGTTGACGATGGTAAACGGTCGTTCGCAGACGTTCAACCCCACCATCCCGCCATAAATGGAGGGCAGTGTAAATCGCGGTTGACCCCTCAGCTCATTTACCACTGAACCTTCCCCACTCGCGAACTATCGTATACTACCGCCCAAACCCAATCAACCCCGGCTTACTCTCCGACACTGTAGCTGAACAATCGGGCGTATATGCTGGTTCGGACACCCCCCCGTTTTCCATACACAAAGGGCAATACCCTGGGTGGTTTATTGCCCTCGGGGTCAACCACGGTTCGCACAACACAAACCACACACAAGAAGGCGTTTATGAGCCAAAACGCCTTCTACATATTTCTGATGTCTCACATGGTTGATATCATGCCCGTGGCATCGCACGTGATGTTCGCCGCCTTGCTGCAGTCCCCGCCAACCACCCACCCATCCATCGTTGTGTTCCATGCCTTCTGACAGTCCAGCAGGACTCGTGCTGCGGCGGCCGCAGGGATTGGAAGTGGGGAGGGAAGGGCAGGAGTGGAGGACTTGGTTCGACCGATCTCATTACACGCGCGACCCACGTGGTCCGCAGGGCGATGGAGGAAGGCAGAGGAAGTGACTCGGAGCGAAAGCTACATTCAAGTCACGTCTAGAAATGACACACATTTACTCTCTCACCTCCAACCAGGCAAGCGGCGCCAAGAAATACATCAACTACTATACCCTGGGAGTTGGCAAGGGGAACGCAGTCAACTCCTGGGAATGCGAGACATGTGAGAAGGAGCAGCACGCCGAGGGCTGCGAACTCCATGAGGAAAAGCTCGCCGGCTTTCATTGAAGAAACTGGCGGAAAATACGAGAATGACCTTTCTGTGAGATCGCCCAGCAAAAACAGCGGATGGTTATACCAACGGAAACACGAGCGAATGACCTGGATGGAAGCAATGAAGAGGATGAAGTGCTTTGATTCAGGGGTGGAACACCAGCACTCGTCGAAGGACATTCGCAGGGGAAGGTGGAATGGACTGTTTCGTGTGCATTGTCGTTATGCTTGAAATGGCAGGGCGCAAATATTTGGCTGAACCAATTGGTAATTTCTGGCTGAACCACGATGCTGACAGGCAAAAAGAAGGGCCCAAATATCTGTTGAAACAACACTAAAAAGTTCCATATACTAGATTGATACAGCCTTAGAGACCAGGAGCACTTTGTTGATTGTTTTTATGGAATACCCTGCGAATATAGGCGGGTTGTGGATGATACACCCCGGTTGCATTCCCTCCTGATTGCGACTCGGTTCTTGAGACGGCTGTGGTAACTGGTAGAGAGGTTCAGTTTGGCGCGAAAGCTGCTGTTCACCACACCAAACGACCACACCAATTTAGGCTGTTTTCAAATGGACTACCTGCATACAACTTCATATTATGGTTTGGTGCTTGCGGGTATGACGGTAATCAAGGCTTTGTATGGTTTAAGTTGTACTGGTTGTGTACGGAATTATCATTCCTTAGTGAACGCTTACTTTCACAAGTATGTTCCGAGGGTATCTCTCTCGTCAGTTGGGTTCGGCCTACAGTTTCGCCCCTAACTATTCCAAGGTCGCCACCCACACCATTTGCCAACTATCCGAGCCTCTTTTATCCCGAGGTTCTTGCCTACCTCGGTTCTACCCTATTTCAGCTTTGCCTTAGACCTTCATACATACAGTTCCATTTACAGGCTGTGAATACCAATGCAAGCTGCGCCATTGTTGAGCACACAGAGTAGAGCTTGATAATACCACAATTATTGATGTGCTGAACAAGTACAGATTTCTTGTATGGCAAACATGTCCACACAGTTGTCAGTATTCTCGGTGTTCCAATAATCCCTGTGTCAAAACAATGTGCACGAGGGCATGTGAATGTGTTTGTGGAAGGAGTAAGGATGACGGAGAAGAGCTGAAAATGAGACTGGTGCAGGGGAGGGAGAGGGTGAGGGAGAGGGAGAGGGGGGGAGAGGGAGAGGGGGGGAGAGAGAGGGAGAGAAAGAGGGGGGGAGAGAGGGAAAGAGAATAAAGGAGGAGGAGGAGGAGGAGGAGGAGGAGGAGGAGGAGGAGGAGGAGGAGGAGGAGGACAGGGGGACACACAAACAAACACACACACGTACAGCAAGAAAGACGCAGGAGAAGGGGAGGTTCAAAGGGAAAGGATGAAACAAGGGGCATCTGTTTAATACCTTCAAAATGAGCGGTTCTGCGTCGGTCTTCCTGACGAGGTGGAGAGTGTTGGCTTCCAAGTACGCCACTTTGTCGTCCAGATACATTGCACCGGCGTCCTTGAGCACGCGCACCTCGATGTACGGGTCCTTGGGGGGTAGCAGGTCCTGGCGCACACGAGGCCACACGGAAGGGGTGGGCAGGATGACGGAAGAAAAAGGGATGGTAGAGCAACAGCTGTTCGGAGGAGGGCGGCTCTGCACGGTTGCACGTACTCTGCACTGCATGCCCTTTGCCACACACACCACTTACCACCACACAGACCACAGAGACATCACACATACCACCGTGCCCCCATACACACCACCGTGCCCCTGCACACACCACAGTGACCCCCCACACACCACCGTGCCACCACACAGACCAGAGTGGGCCCAGCAGCCCCCCCCTGGTTGCCCCCAGTGCAGCAGTGGGGTGAGGCAGTAAGCATGGTGAGGGAGTGAGCATGGTGAGGGAGTGAGCATGGTGAGGGAGTGAGCATGGTGAGGGAGTGAGCATGGTGAGGGAGTGAGCATGGTGAGGGAGTGAGCATGGTGAGGGAGTGAGCATGGTGAGGGAGTGAGCATGGTGAGGGAGTGAGCATGGTGAGGGAGTGAGCATGGTGAGGGAGTGAGCATGGTGAGGGAGTGAGCATGGTGAGGGAGTGAGCATGGTGAGGGAGTGAGCATGGTGAGGGAGTGAGCATGGTGAGGGAGTGAGCATGGTGAGGGAGTGAGCATGGTGAGGGAGTGAGCATGGTGAGGGAGTGAGCATAGTGAGGGAGTGAGCATGGTGAGGCAGTGAGCATGGTGAGGCAGTGAGCATGGTGAGGCAGTGAGCATGGTGAGGCAGTGAGCATGGTGAGGGAGTGAGCATGGTGAGGGAGTGAGCATGGTGAGGGAGTGAGCATGGTGAGGCAGTGAGCATGGTGAGGGAGTGAGCATGGTGAGGGAGTGAGCATGGTGAGGGAGTGAGCATGGTGAGGGAGTGAGCATGGTGAGGGAGTGAGCATGGTGAGGGAGCGAGCATGGTGAGGGAGTGAGCATGGTGAGGGAGTGAGCATGGTGAGGGAGTGAGCATGGTGAGGGAGTGAGCATGGTGAGGGAGTGAGCATGGTGAGGGAGTGAGCATGGTGAGGGAGTGAGCATGGTGAGGGAGTGAGCATGGTGAGGGAGCGAGCATGGTGAGGGAGTGAGCATGGTGAGGGAGTGAGCATAGTGAGGGAGTGAGCATAGTGAGGGAGTGAGCATGGTGAGGCAGTGAGCATGGTGAGGCAGTGAGCATGGTGAGGGAGTGAGCATGGTGAGGGAGTGAGCATGGTGAGGGAGTGAGCATGGTGAGGGAGTGAGCATGGTGAGGGAGTGAGCATGGTGAGGGAGTGAGCATAGTGAGGGAGTGAGCATGGTGAGGCAGTGAGCATGGTGAGGCAGTGAGCATGGTGAGGCAGTGAGCATGGTGAGGGAGTGAGCATGGTGAGGCAGTGAGCATGGTGAGGCAGTGAGCATGGTGAGGCAGTGAGCATGGTGAGGCAGTGAGCATGGTGAGGCAGTGAGCATGGTGAGGCAGTGAGCATGGTGAGGCAGTGAGCATGGTGAGGCAGTGAGCATGGTGAGGCAGTGAGCATGGTGAGGCAGTGAGCATGGTGAGGCAGTGAGCATGGAGGCAGTGAGCATGGTGAGGCAGTGAGCATGGTGAGGCAGTGAGCATGGAGGCAGTGAGCATGGTGAGGCAGTGAGCATGGTGAGGCAGTGAGCATGGTGAGGCAGTGAGCATGGTGAGGCAGTGAGCATGGTGAGGCAGTGAGCATGGTGAGGCAGTGAGCATGGTGAGGCAGTGAGCATGGTGAGGCAGTGAGCATGGTGAGGCAGTGAGCATGGTGAGGTCCAGCCCTGCGTCCGCCATGCAGTCGTCCAGCCGCTTTTGAGCCGATTCATAAGCCTCCCTTGGATGTCCCCACACTGACTGACCATGGTGAGGCACTGAGCACTGATTGCCTCTCTGGTTGCCCCCACACTCACTCACCACAGTGAGGTCCAGCCCTGCATCCGCCATGTAGTCGCGGAGCGCCTGTGAGTACTGCGGCACTCACTGACCACTGTGCGGCACTCACTGACCACTGTGCGGCACTCACTGACCACTGTGCGGCACTCACTAACTACGGCACGCGAGGCACTGACTCACCACTGTGGCCCCCTTCACACCACAGTGCCCCCCTTCACACCACAGTGCCCCCCTTCACACCGCAGTGCCCCCCTTCACACCGCAGTGCCCCCCTTCACACCGCAGTGGCACCCACCACAGTAAATTCCAGCCCTGCATCCGCCACGGAGTCGTCCAGCGCACTGAGCACTGAGCACAGTGAGGCACTAACTGGGCACGGTGAGGCATTCACTCACCACAGCGAGGCACTCGCTCCCCACGGTGAGGTTCGCCGTGCAGTCCCCCAGCGCACACACACCACAGAGTGAGTGGCCCCCTTCACACCGCAGTGCCCCCCTTCACACCGCAGTGGCACTCACCAAGTGAGGTCGAGCCCTGCGTCCGCCATGTAGTCGCCCAGTGATTGTGAGTACTGCGAGTGAGGCACACTGACCAGTGAGCACGGTGAGGCACTAACTGGACACGGTGGGACACTGACGCACCACAGTGAGGTCGAGCCCTGCATCCGCCATGTAGTCGCCCAGTGATTGTGAGTACTGCGCCAGCCACTCGCCCTCCCCCGCACTCAGCCGCTCCTGCAACGCCCGTGGCAGCGTTGCTCCCAGCTGCCATCGCAGCCGTCGAATCTGATCCATGCGCGCATTGCTGACGGGAGAGAGGAGGGTAACGAGGGGAGAGGAGGGGAGGCGAGATGAGGTATTATTGAAATCCACATTGGCATGCTGGACAGTGGCGATGGCAGGTGACTTTGAGTCGACTCAAAAAAGGAAGGTGGCGAGGGGAGAGGAGAGGGGGCGAGATGAGGGGGGGAGAAGGGGGGGCAATAGAGATATCTATGTTAACATGCTGGGAGTGGACAGTGGCGATGGCAGGTGACTTTTGAGTCGACTCAAAAAAGGAAGGTGGCGAGGGGAGAGGAGAGGGGGCGAGATGAGGGGGGGAGAAGGGGGGCCAATAGAGAGATCTATGTTAACATGCTGGGAGTGGACAGTGGCGATGGCAAGTGACTTTTGAGTCGACTTAAAAGAGGAGAATGTCGAGGGGAGAGGAGGGGAGGCGAGATGGGGAAATAGTGAGATCCACATTGACATGCTGCTGTGATTGGACAGTAGCGATAGCAGGCAGCATGCTCCGAGCAGATTACATGGAGCACAGCACGATGCATGGCAGGTTCGAGATGCATGGCACATCACGATGCACAATGCATGGTTCATGGAGCATGGAGCATTCATGGAACATGGAGCATGCATGGAGCATGGAGCACAAAGCACACTAATGGACGTGACGGATTCGAAGGGGATGGCAGATTGGCGAGGAAGTAAAGGGACTGACAGACAGGTAGGCGGGGAGGCGTGGGACTGACAGGTAGGCGGGGAGGCGTGGGACTGACAGGTAGGCGGGGAGGCGTGGGACTGACAGGTAGGCGGGGAGGCGTGGGACTGACAGGTAGGCGGGGAGGCGTGGGACTGACAGTAGGCGAGGAGGCAGGGACTGACAGGTAGGCGGGGAGGCGTGGGACTGACAGGTAGGCGGGGAGGCGTGGGACTGACAGGTAGGCGGGGAGGCGTGGGACTGACAGGTAGGCGAGGAGGCAGCGCTTGTTGCGCAGCAGCGCCTGGTGGTGCACCATCACGGCCGTGGCGTCCTCCAGCCGCGTCTCCTGCCACTCCACTCCCGACCCCTGCACTCGCCTGCCGCAGGCACGAGGGGGAGGGGGGGAAATATCTTAAAAAAGGTCTCAAAAAGCCACTCCAGTCCCGACCCCTGCACCCGCCTGCCGCCCGCCGCGCATGTAGGGAAGAGGGAGGCGGGCGGGGGGCGGGTGGCAGAGAATGAGAGAAACAATCTTTTGAGGCGCGTCAAAGGAGGGCGGCAGAGAAGGAAAGAAACAGTCGCGATCGCGAAAGAAACGAGGGCAAGGAAAGAAGAGGAAGGAGACCAGAGCAAGAGGTGCAGCAGACCAGGGCGAGAGGTGCAGCAGACCAGGGCGAAGGGTGGAACGCAGAATGAATGAGCAGGTGAGGAGCGTTTCGAGAGGCGACAGAGGCACCATGTGTTGGTGATGCTCGTGCGCCTCCTCCAGCACTCGCTGCACGCCGTCCGCCTGCCACACCGTGACAACCAGCACAGAGGGGAGAGTGGGGGATAGGGAGCAGTGGAGGCGTAAGTACGACGGAGCGCGATGTAAGAGCGGGTGATGCGGAAGGCTTCACCACCATCGCTGCGGACACAGCGCGTCCGCGTCGGACGCATGCAGCGGCGGGACACGAGGGCGTACATCAAAGGGCAGGATTTGGTCGGCGTCGCATCGCGCCACCTCCTGCACGAGCTCCACCGCCTTGCGCGCGAACATGGCGGCCTCCGCTGCGCCACCCGCTCGCTCCGCCGGCTAGTACCGCGAGGCCGATGTCAGTGATGGCGTTTGAGATGATTTGGCTGGCTGTGGCAGTTCAAGCGACGGGAGAGGAGGTGCGTCGCTCGAGAGAGTAGTGTCGCACGAGAGAGGAGGTGTGCCGCACGAGAGAGGAGGCGCGTCGCTCGAGAGAGGAGGTGCGTCGCAAGGGTTACACAATCTTGCGAGATCGGAGAATAGCGCAACGTGCGGATGGGGGAGCGAGGCTAGGACGCGGCCACTGCACAAAAACGAGCCTTGATCGACGCCGCGCAACGTGGTTCCGTCAGGACGAGAACAAACATTCATTCACCACTTCTCTGAGAACACTCTTCTTCCTATTCCACATCGGCGTGTTTCCCAAGGTGTTCGCAAGGCAGTCACTGAGCACTGAGCATTGCGGGTCCAACTTTTAGAATTTTGAAACATCGAATTCGTAAACCAGGGGCTGCGTTCTGCAGGCGCATCAGCCCGCATCAATGTAGATTTCTACATTGTACCATGGTTTCAGGATCCTTCCTTGATAGCCTGCCTACAGGTTATCAAGGTTCGCGATAAGCAAAACAAGACCAAATGCCGAAGGAAAACAAAAACGAATGCCTGGGGAACGGCCCTATCAATCGGGCGCATCACTGATGCGCGCATCATGCGACTCCAAAAAATCTCATCATGCAAACTCATTGGCCAATCAGTTTGGCCAAACCGTCAGCGGAGGAGAAGCTTCCGAGATACCTGTAACATTCAAAATGTTGAAATTCGTCACGAAATTTAATGTCCAATTTCCTGACATCAATTCAATTTCGTCTGATTTTCCAAACCTCAATTCCAAAAGACCAAACCCCAATTTCTCAAAGTCCAATTTGCGATTTCCTAACCTCAATTTCTCAACGTGCGCATCAGGCCAAGCCTCAGACGCATAAGAGCTGATGCGCCTGCAGAACGCAGCCAGGAAAGGGCTGGCGAGAGGCTATCACACCGTCCGCACGTTTTCCCTATTTTCGACTAAGGACGTTTTGACTAGGGATGTAATTCTACATCATTGAGCTTGACGTCTCCAACGCCTTTCTTTACGGCATTTTAGAGGAGGAAATCTACATGGCTCAACCTGATGGGTATCACGATGAGAGAGTCTGCACGCTGCACAAATCTCTGTATGGCCTGAAGCAAGCTCCACGGGTTTGGTATCACGCTTAGGAGTCCGCCCTGCTGGCACAATGTTTCACGCAGTCTGAGTATGACCATGCACTTTACATCCTGCATACGAGGGTGCATAAGGTACTGTGGCTGATCGTGTATGTGGATGACATCCTCATGGTGTCAGGTTCTCTCTCCCTTCTCACCCACATAAAAGGTATGCTCACCATGGAGTTTGTCATAACAGACATGGGTGAGCCATCATATTACCTTGGCATGAACATCATTCGTGACCGTCCCTCTCGCTCTCTCTTTCATTCACAAGAGCGAAACATTTGCGGAGAGACACTCGACAAAGGTAGTGAGCTAGACTACAAGGGTTGGCACGAACTACTAGGAGTGATCGTAGCTTTGCCTAGTTCCTTAGTGCTTGCACAATCACGGGAGAAATCGGCAAGAGTTTCCACTAGCAAAGTCGAAAATCCCAGAATGGTTAAACAAGCAATGACAACAATGACTACATCAAGAACCTAGCAACATTGCAGCTAGCCTGGTCGACCGCCAGCGTAGCTTGGTCGACCGCCTGCCAGCGTTGCGTAGAGGAGCCGCGCCAGCACTGTGGAAAGGCGACCTGCCAACAGAGCAGGTCGACGGCGTGCCAACGCTGCAGCAGAGAGCTGTCCAGCGTTGCTCCGTAGAACACAGAAGTGCGCACGCTCGCAGGTGCGCGCAGACGATTGGCCCGACTTGCCTCGTTAGGCATCCGTCGGCTGTTGGCTACGCCTAACGAGCCACATCGACATCGGAATACCAGCCCGCAGTCGCCTTTGCCATCACGACCTGGACGACGTTCGCGTGCCTCCGCAGAACTCGTCGAGCAGGTTACCCAGTTGACCTGGTCGACCACCAGGTGCTTCCGGTCGACCACCACTGCCTTTGGTCAACCACCAGGTGCCTCTGGTCGACCACAGCTCCTGTCGAGCTACCCCCTGTCGACGGACCCCTTCCGTCGACCGGAACAGTCAGCGGTTGTCGCCAAGCTCCCCTCGTCGACCACTGCTTACTTGTCAAGTCGACGGACTGCTCCGTCGACCTCCCACTCGAACTACAGGTCGACGGACTGCTCCGTCCACCTCCCGGTCGAGCTGCAGATCGACGGACTGCTCCGTCCACCTCCCGGTCGAGCTGCAGGTCGACGGACTGCTCCGTCCACCTCCCGGTCGAGCTGCAGGTCGACGGACTGCTCCGTCCACCTCCCGGTCGAGCTGCAGGTCGACGGACTGCTCCGTCCACCTCCCGGTCAAGCTACAGGTCGACGGACTGCTCCGTCGACAACCTGGTCGAACTGCCCTTCCTGGTCGACGGCCCACCCGTCGCCCAGACCAGTCAGTTGCAGCTGTCGAGCTCCCTGGTCGACAGCAACACCACAGCAGTCCCTTGCAGCTCGACGGAGCCTGTCGAGCTGCTCTCCCACTGTGAACGGTCGGCTGTCACTCTCGTACATCCGCCCAAGTCGTCGGCGTTGCCCAAGCGAGGGCGGGGCCAACACTCCACTCCCGTTAACACTCCCCTGCCGCGCTCACGCTTGGGCCTCCAGCCCACACGGCAGTACTCCACGGAGAAAACTCGTCCTCGGCGTGCACCCCACACACAGCACGCCGTCACCGCACCAGCTGTGCAGAAGGGCACGGCACCTTCTGCTGCACCTCATCGTCGCCGTCGCCGACGTCAGCAAGGCGAACTTGGCCGATGGCGACAGAGCACCGGTTGAAAGCCGGAAAATGCAGCGCCTTCGTTAGGAAGTCAGCCGGCTGCTCGGTGGTCGGGATGTACTTCAGCACGAACTTCCCGCGCCTCACCATGTGCTGCAGGCAGGCATAGCGTCGCTCCATGTGCTCGAGGTTGCCCGTCAGCCCCAAGCCCTCAGCGACCGTGATTGCCGACTTGTTGTCCACACGGAGGACGGTCGGCTTCCCAGCGTCGAGCAGCTTGAATATTTGAAGGAGGAAGCGAAGTCGACGCCCTTCCTTGCCGGCGTCCGTGGCCGCGACGTACTTCGACTCGGTCAAGGAGACCGTCGCGCACTTGATGCGCTGGCTCGACCAGGATACCGCGGCCCCTCCGAAGACAAACACGTAGCCGCCCGTGCTCGTCCGCTTCTGCTTGTCACCCGTGTCGTCGACGTCCACGTAGCCGATCAGCTCCAGCGACTCTGGTCCATCGCCGAACTCCAGGGCGGTGTCGCGGGTGTTAGCGAGATAGGCGAGGCAGCGGTCGAACTCGCGCCAATGCTGGCCGCTCCTCACCGGGAGGTCACTCCCCAGCTTGCTGCAGGCGAACGCGATGTCCGGCCTCGTCGTCGTCGCCGCAAATTGCAGCAAGCCGACCTTCTGCCGGTACTCCTCCTCCGCGCGCTCCTGTGCCTCCTCGGCGTCGAACGTCAGCAGCGTAGGCGTCGACCAATTCTGGCGTCTTCGGGACTCGACTGCCCTACTCCTCGTCGATGAAGCGCCTGCGCAGCTTGTCGGCGTAGTTCTGCTGGTGCAACCACAGCTTCCTCGCCAGCCTGTCGCGCACAATCTCCAGCCAGAGATACTTCACGACTGGCGAAATCTCCCGCAGCTCGAAGGCAGCATCCTTCAGCTCCTTCAGCTCCTTCAGCATCGCGGTGCTGCTGCTAGCGGCGAGCAGGTCGTCGACGTAGACCAGCACCTAGCAGGTCACTCCGTCGTCGCCGGCCTTAAAGTAGAGCGCCTCGTTGAACTGGCTCTTCTTCCAGCCAGCCCCCAGCAGCACACCGTCGAGAGCCCTGTACCACAGCAGCGGCGACTGCTTCAGGCCGTAGAGGCTCTTTAGCAGCTTGCACACTCGGCCGGTCCCGCCGTCGAAGTAGTCCGGCTGGTACATGTACAGCACCCGGTCGAGCTTGCTCTGTTGGAAGGCGTTCTTCATGTCGAGCTGCATCAGGTGGAGGTCGAGGACGGCGACAATGCCGCGGAAGATCCTTAGCGTGACGTAGCTGCTTACCGGCGAGTACGTCTCGTCGTAGTTGGCACCGTACACTTGCGTGAAGCCCTTCACGACCAGCCTCGCTTTCTTACGCTCGACGGTGTCGTCGATGCGGTACTTGGTCGTCAACACCCACCGGTTCTTCATGATGTTCACGCAGCGTGGGCGTTCGGCCAGCTCCCAAGTGCCCATGCCGATGAGGTTGCGAATCTCTTCTTCCATGGTGGCCTTCACCGCCTCGCCCTTCCAGCTCGCCAGCGCCTCTTTCACCGTCATCGTGGCGATGTCCCAGCGGTGTTCGGGGTCGGCATGCACGTCGGGGTCGAGCTCCGGTAGGTCCTTATTCTCCTCGGCGTCGTCATAATCTGCTTCGTCGTACATCGTGGTGAAGGCAGCTGGCGGCAGGTAGGCGTGGAAGCTCAGCCGCTCCGCGGCCGTCGAGCTCGACCTTGTCAAACATTATACTTGTTATATTTGTGTAGGCTATAGTGGGTTAGCCTATAGGGGGTTCACAACTCTAGGGTTTCCCTTTTGTACTCTCACTTCTTTCTAGTTCAACACTTCTTCTATCTAACATGGTATTAAGAGCGTAGGTTTAGACCTAGGATCACTTACCTTAGGGCCCGCCGTTCCGTTCAAAGCGCCCTCGAGCGCCTTCATGTCCTAGCGCCCTCGAGCGCCTTTCTCATAGTGCGCCCTCGTGCGCCTCGCTGTCTTTTACTGCCCGTGCGCAGCTCACTAGCGCCGCACGCGGCCTTTTTTCTCGCGTGCGTCGCCCCCTAGCAGCCCGCGCGCGGCCGTTTCTGCGCGCGCGCCGC